ATCATAAAATGCTATCCAATCCTAAAAATAGCATGGATGCATGAATGAAGAAGACGATCAGAAAGACTTGGTAATTATGGTCAGCATTCTTCCAACCACCATTTGTTGTTTTCTGTGTAACTGTGGATCACAAAATTAATAAATTAAAAAATGTGAGTCACATGTCATGCTCTTCAAGCAGCCTACATGCTAGGGAGGGGCTAGTCTATAAAACCGTAATACACTGTATCTTACTTTCAAAACCTTGCAATCAAGTCAGCAAGACAGAGAACTAATACAAAAAGTTCTAGTGTTAAATGAGTCATGATGGGAATTCAGGGGGGAAAAAGAGGAATGCAATTTTCTGAGGAAGTTCATGATAGTTGAGAGATGAGGAGGGAAGGAAACATCAAACATCTGCATGGGAATGAAGAATTCAGGCAGAGTGATAAGGTTAATTTTAATGGACAGGTACATTTCATATATAAAGAACACTGAGGAAATCCAGAAAAGGTATTGGGATAACGGTTAATTTATACACGTTTAAACTAAGTAGATGAGGCCAACTTAGCACAGAGAAAAATGAATGTTTTTGCTTATTTTTAATTTTTCTATAAATGAGAGATATGTCTGTTTGATTAAAAATAGCCTGGTCCAGACATATAAATGTGAAGAGCAGTGGTGCAAGAAGGACACATCCATGCTCTCTGTCACATTCTCTGTGTCTTTCTGCCCCATTTCTTTTTTGATATATGTAATCTCTTGTAATGGACCTAAAGGACAGATCAAGTTATATGTACTATACAAATATTCTGTATATCTGAATTACATCTGAGGTCTGTGTTAGCTCTCATCTGTATACCTAGTTTGCCTTAACTGATATTAATTTATGCTTAATGTTTGGAGATAGAATCGAAAGCTGAAATACTTTTAAAATAAATTTGTTATAATCCCACCAAAATCACAATTTTTACAATTCAAATTTTCTTTCTTTTTATTCTATCGCTCAGTTTTAACCTCCATTTTGCATTCCTATGACTGTCATGGTTTGAATGAAATATTACTATTTTGTCAACCTAAGTCTGAAGAATTTATGATCTAAACAAAACAGAACTGAAAACGGAAGAGACAGAACCAGATAATTTATTATATAAATCCTCAGTATTAAAATAATGACTACAAGAAGAAAATTGATTGGGGAAATTACCAAGGTGCAAAATGGAATAATTAAAACAATAATTCTAAAAGTTCTGGATTTAGAACTATTATAAGAATAAAAAAATCGTGTAAATAAACTTCCCTTAACATCAAAGAAACATGCTATCTCTGCATAAAAATAATCTCAAATTGTTTTGGATCAGTACACTGAACTATTTGAGTTTTCATACACGCATTTAGTTAGTTCTAGTGTGAGTTATTGCTAAATTCTCATTGTGATTTTGTTGACTATATACTTTAATTGCTAATGCATTCATATGCTCAGACAGCTCGTAAGTGTTCAGAATAACAACTTCTCCTGCAAACAGGATCTTATAACAAGTTGTTTTACAGGGAGAGAAACTAAGATCTGGGTAGTTATGGCTTGCTCTAGATCACAGGTGTTATAGCAACAGTAGTACTATGTAGCTCCAACCAAGGGTCTAACATTATCCTAGGAGATTTAACTACATTGACTGAATTAATCTCTTAAGGAAATCTGTCAGGTTAACACTACAGCATGACCAACCTCCTTTGATAGTGGGAAGATAATGTTCAAAGAAGTTAAGAAAGAAGTTAAGCTGGGATCACACAGCTAGGTAAAAAAAGCTGGGATCTAAACCTATGTCTGCAGTCTCAGGGATGCTTACCTAGTCTACTACATTGCCAGTCAGGGAAAAAGAAGGAGAACCAATTGTGATGTTTTCTTCTGAAGATTATCCACAATACTACACACATTTAGAAACAATGCCTTACCATTATTTCTCTCAGATATGTGGGGCGAACAATTATTGCAACTTTCATTCATCTATCCATCCTGAAAATAATACTCTTTCATTGTTGGGGTTGTTTAAAAATTGCTTTTTAAAATCTTATTAAGGAAAAAAACTAAATCCCTGAGGTGCTCTGTGTAACTTGTTAATCTTGATCTATGGATATAAAAATAAATAAGCCTCTGTTGTGCTTAATATGTGTCTAAGTAGCTGTAGTCAAGAAAACTCATTGGAAAAAATATATTCTTAAATTCATTTATAATATTCTAATAACTGAGAATAAATACCAAGTTAGAAAAATAATTTATCACACCAAGCCATTTTCTACTAGCTAATAAACATTGAACATGACTTTTAAAATGCTTTTCTAATATTACCATCAACAAATACTAGCATTTATTTTATAAATATTTCACTCAATGAATAATACCTAATTTTACAATATTTAAATACTCTACATGGGGATTGATTCCTAATATAAAGAATTTTAAGAGTACTATTTTATGTTGTGGGACACATTATTATTCCTGTACATTGAACTGAAACCTTAATTATGTCATTTTATAAGACACTGATAAATGCAGAGACTTACATAATTAATATAATTCTCAAATATGAAGCTTTTACACACAGTTTAATCTTCTAAAATTGAAATATAGTCATAAAATTGCTAGCAAATATATAGGTGCAAATAGTGTTGAGCTGGGCAATTAAAGAGGTTTTTACGGCTCTCCGCAGACCTTTTGGATGGCGTGAGTAAGGATTATACAGGTTTTAGGCAGTACTGAGGGACCGATATCCTGTTCAGGGTGTATCAATAACCATGCAAGTTAGAAGAATGAAGGCATAGCTTCATTCCCAACCCCTATGTGTCAGAAAGTTATAAAAAATGAATATATTATAAAGTTAAGGAAGAAAAACTGTTATAGCATTAAAGATTTGGGGCCAGATATATAAAATTAAAAATTAAGATGGTTTCATGGGAAATGAAATTTTGCTCTAATTTTCAATTACACTTCTATGTAACATAATCTCTTTACTGCCTATTATTTAAATAAACACCATTAATATTTCCTTTTAAACTTATGTTATTGCTATTTCGTCTCTCTTAGTTAATTATTATATTTTTCAATATTCCTCTACCTAAAAAGCTAGAAAATTAATACATCAGAAAGTATTCAAGCTTCATTAATTCTATTTTCTCACAATTTCGCCGTTTCCCTCTATGTTGGTAATACCTTGCCAAAACTCATGAAACTTATCCATCAAAAACTTAGAGACAAAGTCATCCCTTTCCCTATTCTACTTATTTTAGTGACAACTGACCAAAGATCTCCCGTGAACTAATAAAATATTTCAAATAAAAATATTTTTAAAAACAATTGAAATATTTAAAAAAATACCAGGCATTAATGTTTAATTATTGTATTATGTATATCTACAATTGATTGGTATTCTAAATGTTTACATATTTTGTAGTAGTTAAGATTTATCATGCTTTTGAACATGTGGCATTTAGATGGATAAAGCAAAATGTCTTTGAAAGACATGGAGCTATGAAGACATAAAGTAAGAATGCAATGAAAACATTTAGTGTAACACATAAAAATAGATACAAAAAGACAATTGTTATTACAAGTGGTGTTTGAAAATTAGAGTTAAATTCATCTAGTATGGAAAAGAAGTTTACATTCTTCATATGGCATTTTAAGTGTGATTAATTCACTGAATACTACATTTTAGGACATTTACTAATTCCTTAAAGAACCATTACATTTTGAAGATCTCATAAAAATTTTAACAGGCAAATACGTGTACTTTAGTTTTCACTCCTTAATATTTGATGCTTAGACTGGGTAAAAGTGTGTGCAAGGTCTGGAGTAGGCAGGACTGAAGGGTGAGGAATGAATACAAGTAGTTCTCTTTCATATGGTAGTATTCCAAATCTAGAGCATACACAGTGCTCGCTTTTAGACTCCAAGTGTCCTAACATTGTGAAATCCTTTCATAAATATGTTTCAAATTCTCTTTGTGACTTCTTAAGCGGTGCAGCTCAGGATTGCAGCAAATATCACTGATGACTATGTCGCTGAAATATTAAGCTTGGGCATTCAAAGTCCTCATTCTATGTAAGGCATAGCCAACATTTTCAGAATTTTAGATCCATATGGACAGAATATTTGCTTGCTTGATAAATTGTTGTGAATCGGCAATGCATAAAAATATCTTGATTCCAAATACCACCTGATTCTGATACAAAACCAGTATGAAGAATTCCTACACCAAGCACCATTCTTTTTTAATCTTCAAAATTGCTATTTTTATAGTCATAGAACTCCTTGAACTCGCACAAAGTTTGCATGTGAAGCAGTCACATGAATTACTTCTGCACAAATCTCTCATTTTTGATTGAACACAGGGCAGGCCTCTTACTTAAATTTTGAGTTTCCAAATTTTTAATTGTTTCTAACTGCTCACTTATGTGTGGTTTCTGTGTATGCATCGTCATCATCAGTTTATTCCCAGATAGGCATTTTTTTGTGGGAATATTTCCTGAATGTTTATTTAGATGTAATAAATATGTTGACAAGGTAGAACCCAGAAACCCAAAAGAAAATCCAGCCACTGGGATTTCTAATGTGCCATGGCGCTGATACCAGAGAACTTGTCCAGTGCCAAGCCAGGTTTAAATGCATTTTGGATTGGCTGTGACATGCTTCTGCCAGGAAGATGATTTATCATCACACACTAAGCTGATAATTCCTAGTACTATTTTGTAAGATAAATTCGGCATGGAGTTAAATATCAAATGAAATTTTTCATGTGATACGTAATCAAAAGCCTACTTCAAAGCATACTTTAGAAGAGATTAAGAAATAGACCACTTTTATGACAACAATATTAGAGACTGTGAGTCTCTGTATACCAACATACCCACTATCAAATAGTAAAATGGGTTTACGGTATTTTACATGTACATTAAAATATTCCACTTCTATTATTATCATGATAATATTTTTCTGGAAACATTAATGACAATGAGATCCTTACCCCAAAGTCTGGAAGCCTTGGTTGGCTGGGGGGCCAATGTGTCATTCACAGCACTGATTTCATTTCTTTGAGCTGTGTTATCTTTTTCCACCAGGAAATCATTCATTGAAAACATAGAAAAAATTAAAATATGAAAACATTATTGAGTTCACATATTTGCACACGTGGAGGTATTGCAAAGAGTGCTGTTAAGCAAAATAAACATCTACTGAAGTTTTTCACATTGCTTTGCTAAATGAAAAAACAGTGAATTTTAAACATGTATTTTGAAATGAGATTTCCATTTGTAATTTGTAGCTCTTTATAAAAAAAAGTGTTAGTGTATAAATCAACCCCTTAATTTTATAGGCAGTTTAAATTGATTTTACATGGTAGGATCCAAGTAATTGTTAGCACTCAAATATTTGTAAGAAAAAGAGATCTCAGCTGTCATATATTTCAAAATTATACAACAAAAAGAGATAATACATCATATACATAACGTTAGATTTTTAAAAATAATTCCCATTATGGCTAAATTTCTAAATTCTGTATCCTTTACCCTAACATGGGGACAAATGACTTTAGATCCAATGAATAAAATAACATCTTAATTTGCACGATGAAAGCAAAACACGAGTTTATTTGAAATCCTCTGACATGCCTTAATTTTCAGAAGTTTATAAATGGACAAAGAAAAGATGGAAATACACTTACCTGGATCCTCACAGGTGCTCTTGCATTCTTCCAATGACTCAAAGTTGTTCAGATTGCCAAGGCACCCACCGTACTTGAAACGTTCACACTGTTTGGACTGATTGTTGTAAAAATACCTGGTAATATAACCCCGACAGATACCAGGATCTTCTTCCAAAAAGCAGAAATCTGGCTTTCCTAAAAATCATAAAAATGTCAGAAATCCATGTTATTTTTTGTAAATAATTTATTTTGTAACTTTACATGTAGCTATATATTTAACAGGAAACATGAAAATTTAAGGTTAAGAAAAACATGACTTCAAAGATGCTTAAAGAGCCTATCTGTGGTACTATTTAGAACTGGCATTCAAGTTTTAAATTTCTCATAGCAAGTAGGGAATCAGCTATTAATTTCATATTGACTGAAAATATAAAAGATGTAGTGTTATTATATCATGCACCATCCTTGATTTGTAGGTACACAGTATGACAAAAACTTGCTTTAATTATTTCTATTAAGGTTATGCACATTAACATTTAGGAAAGGCTTTTGAATATTTAATGCGATTGAGACATGGGAGTGTATTATGGGCAGCAGAATAAGTTAAACTTTTAAATTGGAAATGAGAAGTTTCCATGGCTATTCTCAGAAAATCCTTAAATCTTACACCAAAATTAATAAATGTAGAGGTATGGCATCCTTCCATGCTGTGCCTTTATTGTTGTTGTTGTTGCTGCTGCTGTTGTTGTTGCTGTTGTTGGAGTGGCTCCAACAGTGCAGAGGGAGAAAGGAAATACACACTGAGGGATGGAAGAGGCTTCTGTAAAAGTGTCATATCCTTTTTTGATGATGTTCCAGGCAGGCTTAAGGCAGCTGTCACAAACATTGACCACTGCGATCTCCATTACAAGCTTGTCCCTCTGAATACTATGAGAGCAGAACTAAACTGATTTTTTAAAAAACTTTATGATTTAAAGGCAAATCAGGTTTGATGTTGTGGAAACAAAGCTCCCAATGTCTCCATTTGTTTCCCCTGCAGTTATATTATCACAGTGTCAAAAGATGAACTATGATATTCTTAAAGCTGTTTTGCTCCAATATGTCAGAGAAATAATACCCATAAATGCTTTAGTACAAAAACAACATATAGGGGTGGACATTTGTATTGGCAGTTAAGACATATAAACATTCTTAGGTGCAATAGCTGCCCCTGGGCTTTTGACTAGAGTTTCCTGCTAAGGACAACCATGGTAGGCAGCCATAATGGTTCAAATAACGTGGGTTTTTGCCATTCACATGGTGGGAATGAAATACAGTTCCCAGGGGAGTTAGCCAAAGAGCGGGAGTTCTATCTATGACTCAAATAAATTTTAAAAATGTATTTAATAATATGCAGTGATTTTTCCCCGTTCTGTTGTTTTTCTCTCTCCAGAATTTTTTTAAACTCATACATACATCTTTAACAAGTTCATGGCACATGAATGTTATGCCAAACTCTGAACTATAAAATTATTTGTACAAAAATGCACTTATTTTTAGTTTCATTTTTCATGGATCTTTTTCCTTTTTCCTTTTTTTTTTAATTTTCATGATACTTTTCATAGGCACAAGAATTTCTCCTTTCTATCCTGCCCCCGCTACCATTTCCACATGCTTTTTAAAGTTCTCTTATGATTACGGAATTGCAAAATCTAACTAACTGTAGTAATCATTTTTATAATAAGAGAGTCTAACATTATCTCCTAGAATTTCTCAGTAAGTAAATGACTAGTAATTACAGACACCACGTTATATAGTAGTAGATCTCTTCAACTGATTCCTTCTAATTGTTTCACAATCATCTCCCTGGCCAATCCTCCCATACAATCTGATTCTCTGACAATCACTATTCTACCATTATTTTTTAAATGAAATTGATTTTTTTAAAGCTTGCAGATCAGAGCATGTCGTATTTGTTCTTTCGTGATTGGCTTATTTTATTTAACCAAATACCCCCCAGGTTCATTTGCATTGTAGTTAAAAAAGATCTCAATAATACGATGCTAGCATTTTCTGCCTTTGCCTGTGCCTACACTGCCATGGTGTGTGTAGCGTGCATCATGTTGAACTTGTAATTGCTGCTGGAGGACTGCACTCTTACAATAATATGGCAGTGGAATTATGTGAGGGGAAGATGGGGAAGAAGGAGGAAGCAAAGGGGAAATCCCTACACCTACAAAACAGTATCATGGAAAATAGTAAAAGTAATTTTAAAAAGAGTTTTATATTGTGGCTGAATGGTACTCTATTATACATACATATGTTTTCTTAATTTATCCTCTGATAAACACTCTGGTTGATCCCATCTCTTGATGTTGTGAATGCTGCTTCAATAAACGTGGAGTGTGGATTTTTTTTCATATATTGACTTCAGCTCCTTAATGCAGATACTCCATTGTGGGATTGCTGGGCCACATGGTACTTCTGTTTTAATTTTTTGAGTACCATCCATATTGGTTTTCATAATGGCTGTTCAAATGACGCTTCCACCAACAATTCTCCAGTGCTCTCTTAATACCAATTCCTCACCAGCATGAGTTGTATCTTACTGTTTAGGCAGTAAGAAACCTCACTTTAGTAAGGTAATTTCTAATTATTGTTTTGATTCGCTTTTCCTGTTTTTTTTTTTTAAGTGAATGTTACCCCTGGTGTATAATATATGGGAGAATTAAAAGATATTTTTTACAGTTGAACATTTACAAAATGTCATTTTGATTTTAGTCTTAGAAGGAATTTTTATGAAATTTAAGATATCAGCTTAACACATAGCATGTGAATTTTATGCTTTAACAATGAAAGAATAAAAATATTGTGTTGAAACAACAGAATATAATGACATGTAAGTAAGATTCTACAACTGAACTGATTTATATGAAGTCTTATTATAGGACTGAATAAAAAAATATAAACTTGCAGCATAATTCTTCCCAGGATCGTAACTAAAAGTATAGTTACAAATAAAGAAATAAACTTTTAATAAAATGATATTCTTTTGAGCTTTTAGATATAACCTATGCTGTCAATGAGTACTAAGTGGAAATTGAATGGACAAGTCATTGAATTCTGAATTATCAAATATGTATTTTATAGTATTATTTTGCAACAGGATTTTTTCCTACTTTCTTATTTCTGTTAAAAATGTCTTATTTATATATACTTTTGTAAAACTATCTTTTATTTGGTACACAAAAATCCCCTTTTACATTATGGTTTGCTTTTCAGTTGTGAATTTCTTTAAAGGCAATTCTATATCGTTTTGTCAAGGTTAATTCAATATTTACAGGAAGATTTATTAAAAATATAAATTAATATCTATACAAATGTCCACTTATGTTGTAGTATAAAACTCATTAGTAAATTTGTTTTATTAACTTTGCTTCAAAAGTCACTGGCCAATGAATAAATATGAAGATCATAAAAATTTTTAAATATTCAAAAATTTCAAAAATTTTCAGGTATTTTATACACAACTTAACATAGAGAAAATTAAAATTTACTTTGAATTTTGAACTCTTTTATATCTTAAATAACTGCTTTTTTTGTTTATTTTTTCCATTCAAATATGTGTCATCATGATCACTGTATTAAATACGCATTTAGACCTTTATTGAAAGGGTGTTGGTTTTCTTGACCTGTTGCTAACATTTTTCTTTGAACTGATAAGATAAGCTCACTAAAAATTACTTGCTTTAGTTAAAATAATAAGTGAAAAAACTGTCGCAGAGTTAAACCAGTGTGGGCAAATACTAAGTAATACACACATGCAGCTGTTCACTATTAAACACCTCCACTTTCTCTGGCTTATGGAACTAATGAGAATTCTAAGGTATACATCCGTTCAGGGGGATTTTGGATGAAATTTGCAAATGCTGTGCAATGTTGAGAATAAAGGATTAGGAGAACCAAAGTTACATTAGCATCATCTTAATTACCACCTAGAAGATTTAAAATATGTATGACACTGGAATCTGCATGATCTAAAACAATATTTCCCTGGAATAGAATGTGAACAAGTATAATGTTTAAGACCTTCCCATCAAAGCACAAGCATATTGTTTCTAATTTGGAAGATTGTATGAAGGTATGATCAACCTTGCTCTACAGAACCCCAAGATTTGACTGTCTTATATAAATGCTAACAGTTTACAAGTAATGATCACCTTTTTGCAATGTCAGTTTTGTAGTCATCTTTGAATGATCTGCAATAAAAACAATACTTTTGTTAGTCTTAGCAGTTCATAAAGCAGAGCTCTAAATCTCAATTTAACAAGTGAACTAAGACAATGTATTCATTTACCGTTAAAATTATTCTTATAAAAATGAGTAAATGAACTTTCCATAAAATTCTTCTGATTGTAACCACATAATCATGTAATAATAATGTAATAATGCTTCAAATGGTTTAAACGTTTTCTAACATTCTTGCATAAATGATAATTCACAATAATTAAGCTTGTTCAGAATATCTGAAATTAAAAGGGTTATTTAAAATAATGTGGACGAGGACACTCATTCTAACAGCCTACTTGAGATATAAAAGCAGATAATTTCCAGAGAGGCTTGGGAGTCTAGCTTTAGCTTCCTTCTGATCTCTTCCCTGACCTCATGGTCTCCATGCAATGACAAGTAGGTGCAGAGGAGAGATGAAGCAGAAAGCATCTGGGATGCAGTATTTGGCTCAAAATTATAGAATTAATGAAATTACTCCCCTCAAAAACTAGAATGCTAGTCATCTTTGTCCTATTATATTTCAAGTTGGAGCCTAATTTCTAATTTAAATGGTAATTAGTCTAGTTAAAATTGATTTAATAAATATGTGAAATTTCGGCTTCATCACATAAAAATTAGCAAAGTTTAATTGAATTATATTGTTCTGTCATGTAATCATTTGTTCTACATTAAAAAATTAATCAAGGGAGATTCAATTAATTGTATGACCATCAGAAAGACAAAAAAGGAGAGAGAAAGAGCAGGATTAAGGCAATATGCTTTATCAGCCACTGGCTCATCATTTCTCCTTAAGAACATCATACTATTTTTCTTTAAAAAGAAAATATCTAGGAAATGGGAGTTGGGAGTTGGATGAATTTTCTTGAATTGGAATGTGTCTATTTAGTAGTTTTTAAAAAATATGTATATTTTTCTGTATGTACATACATTTACACATATGCATAAATTCATCTATATGTATTTTTAGTAATCTTATATTTCAAATATTGAGAAACATATCTGCTTTTTTTTACTGTAACTGGTCAATCCCACATTAAGATCCCCTAACTCGGTAGTAAGTTTTCGCTATACTATTCCATTAAATTATAAATTTTGATATATAAAATATAAAAGATTTTGTCTTCAAAAATATTCTTCTCAAGCACTTTATCCTCATGTATTAAACATTAATTACTGGGAATGATGGTATAAGAAATATACATTTACTAAGTTTTTGTAATTATCTTAGATAATAATTTAACATGGGTTGCATTTTAATGTTATTAAACATTAAAGCATGGGGCCCGGCGCGGTGGCGCAAGTGGTTAAGTCCTCGCCTTGCACGCCCGGGATCCCATATGGGCGCCGGTTCTAATCCCGGCAGCCCCGCTTCCCTTCCAGCTCCCTGCCTGTGGCCTGGGAAAGCAGTTGAGGACGGCCCAAAGCTTTGGGACCCTGCACCCGCGTGGGAGACCCGGAAGAGGCTCCTGGCTTCGGATCGGCATAGTATCGGCCCGTTGCGGCTCACTTGGGGAGTGAATCATCGGATGGAAGATCTTCCTCTCTGTCTCTCCTCTCTGTATATCCGCCTTTCCAATAAAAAATAATAATAAAAATAAATCTTTAAAAAAAAACATTAAAGCATGAACAAATAGAAATTTTCAAAGAATTACTAAATTGGAAATTGTGTAACACACTTTCATTACGCATTAAAATCGTTAACAAATTGTATAATGTAGGACATTTTAGTAGTTTGAAGTAGTTTTATTATTTCAGACTTACTGGACAAACTCAGCCTAACACATTTTACATGATTGTACATGGATGGCATACAGGAATCTTGAGCGATTTTCCATCAGCTTGGGAGCACACAGCAAAGCATGTTACAGAATCACAGGGAAAAGTTATTTTTTCACCACACTGGGAGTTTCCCCACAAGACAAAAACGTGAGGCCAAGGCTGTTTAGTACAGCTCTTGTGGAAATTGAAAAGAAGGAGGGAGGAGGAGGGAGGAGAGGTGAAGAGAGAGGAGGAGAGAGAAAAGGGGGACAGGAGGGGAGGGAAAAAGGGAGACAAAAGAAGGAAAGAAAAGGAAGAAAGTTTTAAGAAAAAAAAAACAAGCCTTTGCGTGTAATTAGCTAAAGGTATCATCTCTACAACAATGCAGTTCAATTCAGACAGCTCGGGATCACATTGTGGGGGAATACTGGACTAGAAATAGGAACTAATTACCTGAGATGGTTAATGTCCCTTTTATCACTGCCGTTGCTACTGTCCATAAATACCGAAGATCTAGTTCTCACTGTACCTACATTAGGGCCTTGGGATACAAGAATGGACTCCACAGAATGACTGACTGTCTCCTACATTGTTGGGAGACACTCCAGCAGCAGCAAAAAGGACTTGGGAAGTTTTATGAAAGACATCCATTGTGAAACTGGAGGGAAGACAGAGGGGAGGGGAGGGAACTTAGGGGGAGAGGAAAGGAGACACCATGCCAACTAAAAAACAATACATAACAATAGTTACATAAATAAGTAAACAAGCAAATTAACCACGGGAAAAAAAGGAATATTCTCTTCACTAAAATAGCTCGCAATTCAGCAGAATAAACTGAAATAAACACATTTAAATTTTTATTAGTAATTGGAACTTATCCAAATGAGATGAGGTAAAGCCACAAACACTGTTGTAATTTTTCATTATTAGTAAAAATATTAAATTTTACTAACATCAAGAAGAATGCTTCTGATAAATTTAATCGTTTGGAAGATGGTTAGGATGTGCTTTTAAACCTGTTAGCTATAAATGGGAAAAGTTGGCTTCAGTAAAGTTTGCTTGTATCGGCAAGTATATTTCCTTTACTTGGTATTACTCCAAGATACCAATTAGAACAACCAGAATTTCATATATGTATTTCTACTCTCTGATGCAATACTAGTTTTTAATTAGGAGCTGTAAAACCTCAAAATGAAATCTCACATTCATCATCTTGGGAGAGGACATCAATGAGATCATGACACTCTAAAGGAGCAACCGAGTCCACGTGACTGACAATTGTTTTGCTGCCAATCCATAGCAACCCAGGGAAGCTGAATTCCATTCACCTCGTTACCAGTACAAACCTCCTGTCTGAACTGGAAAAGATTGACAATGAAAGGCTTCACTTCATGCTAAATTACAAAACAAAACAAAACAAAACTGCTGAAAAACAATTCTCAAACATGAAAGCTCCAGGTATGGAATGAGGAAGATTCCTTGGAAATATTAAAATATTAGGACATTATGGGTTTTTTTTTTAGTACATTATTTATCCTAAAGTAGTCAAATGTAAGATTAGACCCAATAGCCCTGAGTTCTCCTGGGTGAAATAAATTTGTAGATATCTACCTCTTACACAGTTTTCTTCGCATTCTTCCAGACTGACAAATCGATTCTCATTCCCTTCACATCCTCCATATATAAATTCTTCACACTGGTGAGTGAGAATATTGAAAAAGTATCTCTTTATGAATGCTCTGCAGGGGCCATCATCAACCTTCATTGCACAAAATGTCTGCACTGGCTTCAGTGGTGGCAATTTCATATCTACAAGATAAAAATAAAAACAGTGTAATTTTCTACTAAGAGCATAATGATGTTCTTTATACCATTTTAATTCCCTTTTAAATATGTCCTAATCTTAAGAGCAGTCCAACAGTAATTCAGACTCATTAGAAAAGGTAAAAAGCTAACATCAATAAATGAGACACATCTTGCCAACTAAGAAACTTCAGTAGGAATAATTAACTGTTAAGGTCAGCATGGATTCACTTACACCTTACTAAGTGGGACACAAAGCTTAGCTACTTCTCGCTGGGGTATTGAAGATTTCTCTGCACACCCCTCTCAAAACTGCTCTGCACTTAAACTGTTGACACATGTCTTGTTAGAGCTATAAGCCCGTTTAGACTACCCGAAAAACAGCCAGGTTCAGCAAAATTATGCTTCAACGCTATAAAATGCTAAATACTATAATGAAAATGGACATGATACAGCTGAATAGTAACCCAGAGCCATTTGAGGGTGTATAGAACCTGGTTGTATATAAACTAAAATTGAAATGTCAATGAAGAAGTCACAGGATGTGGTTAAGAACTTGCATTTTTTTTAACATATTGGTTACTTAATACTATGTCAATTAATTCCATAACATAAATTGTTGCTGATGTTATGTTGGGGCTTTTAGTTGATTGCCATGATACTCTGCCGGCTCTACCTTCAGACCAGAGATGGTCTCCCCAAGAAGCCATTGAACTTATCTGGACAATAAGATGCTGGACTCTATGCTTTGTATATGCTTGCAATGAAAGAATCTCAAATGAACTTGAACTGTGGTAATGCAAAAAGGTGGAGGAATCCACCTTGGGGGGAGGGGGGGAGGGGGGAGGGGAATCCCAGTGCCTATAAAACTGTGTCACATAATGCAATGTAATTAATAAAAAAAATTTTTAAAAATAAAATTTGGAAGCTAAAAAAAAGTAATAATTAACCATTAAAACAGATATGTCATATACTTAACTAGACTCTTAATGATTATTTTTTCAATCCATACTAGCTGATTGATTTGGAATGAAATTTTAGTGATAAGATAAACTCACTCAATTGGATAGGTTCATGTTTTAAACAAATAGAGTCCTCTTCATTTAATTTAGCTGGACTTAGATACAGACACTAAGGCAAATTGAGTTCTTCCTAAATCAAGTACATGTCACCTTTTAAAAGCAAATATATGCTCAGATTTACATTTAAGATATATATTCTACAGTAGCTATTTCTATAATTATTAAAACATAATTGTTTGATATTACACAAATATAGTACATAGTGCATTCTTTTATTTTTCAAAATAGTCAAATCTAAGATTAGACCCAATAACCCTGAGTTCTGGGCGAAATAGATTTGTGGAAATCTACCTCTTACACAGTTTTCTTTGCATTCTTTGCATTTTCTTTCTATTGAGATTTTTCATAAAACAAAAGAATGCACTATTATAAAAAAAAGTGGAGAGAATGTCTTCAATAGAATGGGGTTATTATTTTTAAGCTGAGTTACAAATTTTTCTCTAAATATTCAGCTACTTATTTTGGTTGCAGGAATTTGTCCCCTTTGGGGATATGCTCTTAGAGGAAACAGAATTTGACTTTTAAAACTTGAACTTCTCAAGCCCTGCAGTGTTAACAGAGATCTGGTTTTATATGACTGGCATTTGTTTACATGTTCTACCAATAAACTGTGTTGTGGTTGCTTGGGTAGGAGACAGTTGAAGGCAAGTATGGGATTTCAATTAGGAGCAATAACTTCAAGAAATATTAGTGCACACACTGACAAGATTTAAGCTTATATTATTCAAAAATTACAAGAGTCAATTTAAGGTACTTTCACTACAAAACACATTACTGTATGCACATTAGTTATCTAGAGTTACTCATTCTTCAGTATATCTATGTATATACGTGGATATACAGAATATATACATACAGCGTGTATATATACATATATATATATATACTTTCGGATGTCATATTGTAACAGTGAACATATACAGTTTTGTCTACTAACAAAAACAAGAAAAGAAAAAATGTGATTGATATAATCAAAATAATAATGAGTACTGCATGGTGGTGCTGCAAGTTAATCTTCCACTTGCCGTACAACATCCCATATAGGTGCTGATTCATATCCCGCCACTCCACTTCCAATTCAGCTCTCTATTATGACCTATAAAACAAGAATGTCTCAAGTCTTTTGGCCTCTGTACCCACGTGGGAGAGCTTTGGATCAGCTCAGTTCCAGCCATTGCAGCCATTTGGTGGAGTGAATCAGCAGATAGAAGACTTTATTTCTACCCTTCTCTGTAAAATCTGCCTTTCAAAAAAAGAATAATGGTCAAAAATTCTACTTAGTATTCCTCAAGAATTTTCTTTTTATTGAGGTTATACATTTTCTACTTCTTTGAAAAGTGATTATGACTTACTTATGAGGAATATGACTTTTATTGTTTCTTAAGATATATTTATTTTTACTGGAAAGACAGATATAAAGGGAGAAAGATTCTCTGTCTGCTGATTTACTCCGTAAGTGGCCACAATGGCTGGAGCTGAGCCAATCTGAAGCCTGGAGCCAGGAGCCTCCTTCAGGTCTCCTATGTGGGTGCAGGGTCCCAAGGTCCTGGCCCGTGCAGAGCTGCCCTCCTAGGCTGGAATCAGGGAGCTGGATGGGAAGTAGGGACTCCAGAGTTAGAACCAATGCCCATGTGGGACTGCAGTGTGTACAAGGCGAGGACTTTAAAGATTTATTTTTTATTATTTTTTTATTGGAAAAGCGGATATACAGAGAGGAGAGACAGAGAGGAAGATCTTCCGTCCGATGATTCACTCCCCAAGTGAGCGTAACGGCCGATGCTATGCAAGGCGAGGACTTTAGCCACTAGGCTACTGCACCAGGCCTGAAAGTGACTTCTCAATAATCTAAATCAGTTTCTCCTCTAGGGAGCAGAATATTCTATTAAATGAATCCTAATTATTCTAAGTCTTCACAACAATGTCTTAACACACTGTAAAACAATTTACTTTGAAGAAATACAAATTGATGTTACTTTAGTATTTCACACAAAAAATTAAAAAAAAAACTTTTAAAACATAACACTAGGAAAAGTTGGGTTTTCTTTCTTTCTTTTTTTTTTTTTTTAATTGGAAAGGCGGATATACAGAGAGGAGGAGAGACAGAGAGGAAGATCTTCCATCTGATGATTTACTGCCCAAGTGACTGCAATGGCCTGACTTCAGCCCAGAGCCAGGAGCCGCTTCCAGGTCTCCCACATGGATGCAGGGTCTCAAGGCCTTGGGCCGTCCTCTACTGCTTTCCCAGGCCACAAGCAGGGAGGTGGATGGGAAGCGGGGCTGCCAGGATTAGAACTGATGCCCATATGGGATCCTGGAACATGCAAGGCGAGGACTTTAGCCACTAGGCTACAGCTCCCGGCCCTTCATTTTTATTTTTAAAGATTTATTTACTTATTTGAAAAGTCTGGACTGGCTTTGGTCACAGCAGGGAATCTTATGTGACATTTTTAGAAAAATACACACATTATGAAATTTGAATTCAGTAAGTTTGCCAAGTCTTTTCAACCATTAGTATTTTATTACAATTATTTATACGAATTAATATGAAGTATGGCCATATTTAAGGAACATTAGAACATTGTTAACAAAGTGATTTTAGCATAAGTGCTGATTTTTTATGAGCACATGATAACAAAATAACTCTTACGAGGGGACGCACCTCAGTGAAGCAGATTGAGATAGCCACAAGCCTTCTGCAAGCACCAGATCAAGTCCTGGCAGCTCCGCTTCAGCCTAGATCACTGCCTAGGTTAGAAAGCGGCCTCCTGCTGCAAGCTGGAGAAGCCCACGTGGGGCTTCTGTCTTCTGACTTCTGTGAAGCCATTTGGGTGGTTGATTTTCTCTTTCTCTCTCTCTCTCTTACAGGGTCTTTAAATAGAAAACCTATTTTTAAAGAGTGGTACTTGCAATCTTAGAAGGCTTAAAATCTAACTTTCTATACCTAAGTTCACATAATGTATTTTATACCTCAGATACTAACACCCCTTCAATTTTAATTTGTATTACCTTATAATATATAATTTGCTTTTTAAAAATCTATTTGGTAATAAAATTTACTTTTTTTTTTCAATTTAAATAAATTGACCTGATGAAAATGACAAAATGGTGAGTTTCGCAAACCCCGAACTTGGTAATGTAGGATTAAAATGCAACAGAGATATTATGTTACAGAGCAAACTGCAGCACCAAATACATTTGTCCATAACTGGTTAATCAGCAAGTTATAATAATCAAAGCCTTTAAAGTAGGATTTTATAGACTTCTGTTTTTGCATTTTCAGCTTCCTCTGAGGTTATATTGAATTGACACGTGCATTTTTTATTTATAAATAGCTTTTATAAATCATTTTATAAATATAGTTTTATGAATAATTGTTGTCAAAACTATAGGACCTGTAACTCCTATCAATATTTAAATATATGCACCTGTCTTTACCGATGTGTTAAGAAATATTAGTTAATATGCAAAGATTTACTATTTCCATTTTGCTCATTCAAGATTTGCTTACTTTTATTTCAAAAGAATGACACAGAAAGAGACAAAGACAAATCAATGTTTGATGTTCAGGTTCATTTCCCGAATGCCAATAACATGTGAGATTAGCCAGGCTAAAGCTGAGAGCCTGGAATCACATTGTGTCTGCCAAGTGAGTGGCATGGCCCAGCTAACCAAGCCAACATCTGCTGCTGCTGAACGTACACGAGACTGGGAAGCAGTGTTGGAGGTAATGTAACCAGGAGCAGAGTCAAGCAGTCCAATCCCAAACAGCTGTCCTTCATATTCCTCTCTAAGTCGTCACTTTTTATGCAAACTGATCTGAATTTTGAGAATTGGCCTTTAAAAGGCTCTCAAGCATATCAACTATTTCTTTACCAACAGAGATGTTACAGAATAGAGTTCTAATGCTCACTTTCCATAAGTATTTATTAGATTTCCTTGAAATTCTCTATTTTTAAATATGTAGTGCCTTCTTTTCAGAGGATTGCTGAAAACAATATATATGTATAGGCATGTGTATTTTGAATATAGTCATCCAAACTGAGCCTGCTTAGCAGTCACACCACCAGATGGTGGCAGTGTATCACAAAATAAGAGCAAGCCAGTGTTGTAGTAACAAGAGCTGATTCAACAGTCCTTAGCTGGATATTTTGCAGTTGTATCATTGAATCATCATAATTTCTAAGTTAGGAGTGATTATCTTAATTTTACAATTAATAAAGTGACATTGTGTAAATTAAATCGCTCAATTGCATAACATGACTTGGAATTGATCTCCTCGTAGCTTTACGCCATGATCTCATACATTCTCTGTAACTGTGTGATACAGTTACACATCTGGCAAACCGGTATTTCTTAGCTTGCTTTTATATAAAGACATCAATTTAATTGTAAAATTTGTTCTTAGTGACATTTTTCTAAAATTTAACAAAATTTCAAATGGCTTCAGAGATGAAAGTGGGTTATCATTTTGAAAATTATCTACTTTTCTTTATATACTGCCTACTAATTATTTATTCCCACAGAAAATACATTTTAATCTTATCACTACTAGTTTTCACTATAATTTTGTCTTACAAGGAGGTTTTTTTCCTAAGTGAACTTCACTATTACTTACAAAGGAGCAATAGAATTTTGTATGGCTTCGATGAATAACGGTAACTTGTTTTTTTGAAAGATTCATTTCTTTTACTTTAAAGTTAGAATTAGAGAGAAAGAGAGATCTTCTATCCTCTGATATCTCCCCAAATGCCTTCAAGAGCCGGATCTGAGCCGCCCCAATGCTTGGGCCCAGGAGCTTCTCCTGCGAATCCCATGTCTGCACAGGGCCCAAGGCCTCAGGCCATATTCTGCTGCTGTCTCAGGCTACCAGTGCAAGCGGATTCAGAAGTGAGACATCCAGGGCATGAATGGGTGCCCATATGGGATGCTGATGCTGCAGGAAGAGGATTAGCCTGCCACACCAATATGCCAGCCCCAAGAATAACATTTTTAAATGAATGTTATATTGGTATAGAAAATGGTTCAGCTTTGGAGCCACATAATGAATTGCGCCTCCAAAAGGGACTCGATTGAGATGCAGGATACTGTTACAGCATGATTAATTCAAAACAATACAAATATGAAGCTTGAGTGAGATTGTGTAGCCAATTAGTCAAGAGGACTTCAGATCTTGAGTAACAAAGTTCTTCCTCATCTAGGTTTAGAAACTACCTGGCTACGATTTGAAGTGCTGATTTATCATTTAGAAGTTTAACTGGTTTTTTTCATCATCAGCGCTGACAGGAGCATCCTCATGAGCTGGGTTGTGTTTTCTCAGTGCAGTTGGGGGAGATTGAATTGGCATCATTTCTGGGCCACTTCTTGGACCCATTCTCTTCCTACATCCACGATCACCTGATTTTCCTTGTTCCACCCTTATCCTCAGTATCCCTTTTGTCTGTCACCCACAGAACCAGGACTTTAGCGCACTTCCCTTTGAAGAAAAAAATTGAGTAAAGAACAAAAAATATCCCTCATAATGCTAATATTTCTATTTTTAAAAGACACACTAAAAGTTTATATTATAAAGAAATGTTCCCACTGCAGGAAATTTTTATAACATTGCATCCCTGTACCTGGCACTTAGATAATGACTGTAGATGAATTCCATTCCTCTTTTCATTAACAGCTGTAAAGGTGATTCCGTCATTGCATTTGCTACATTAAAGTGAAATAACCATTCTCTCAGTTAACATTCCCTATAATACTGTGAGGATCTTATAAACCCAGTCTCAACCATCACTGTTTACCTAGGACCAGTCACCAGTTTAGGCATAAAATATATATTCAAATTTTATTAAAAGAAAATATACTGGGACCAACACAGTGGTTCTAAAGGCTGATCCTTCGTTTGCTAGTGTCAGTATCTCATATGGGTGCAGGTTCTAGTGCCCGATACTTCTGATCCAACTACTTACATGTATGTAATACTTCTGATCCAACTCCTTTTCCATGCCTGGGAAAGCAATGGCAGATTGCCCAAGTGTTTGGACCACTGCATCCACGTGGGAGACCCAGAAATGGCTCCGGGTTCCCGTTTTGGACCAGTCTAGCTCCTGCTGTTGAGGCCTTTTGCGGAGTGAACTGGTGAATGGAAGACCTTTCTCTTATTTTTCCTTTTTTTTGCAAATCTGCCTTTTAAAACCTGGCATCTTGGCTTAGTGGTTAAAGGCCTCGCCTTGCATGCACCAGGATCCCATATGGATGCCGGTTCACATCCCAGCTGCTCTACTTCCCTTCCAGATCCCTGCTTTTGGCCTGGGAAAGCAGTAGAGAATGGCTCAAAGCCTTGGGAACCTGTACCAATGTGGGAGACCTGGAAGAAGCTCCTGGCTCCTGGCTCCTATCTTTAGATTAGCTTAGCTCTGTCCATTGTGGTCAACTGGGGAGTGAATTAGTGAATGGCAGATCTTTCTCTCTGTCCCTCCTTTTCTCCATAAATCTGTCTTTCCAATAAAATAAATAAATCTTTTTTTTAAATTAAATCTTCCTTTGAAATAAAAAAAAGCAGTGAACCTAGAAAAAGGGAAATGCACTGAACATAGTGTATTTTCAAAGCTATGAGATTGGAAATAAGAATGTTTATGGAAATATTTGGCACATAACAAACTGCGATCCAAAAGAAATGGTCACAGTGTTAATGTTCTCTCACTATTATGGAAACATTGAGATTTGTATCAAAAGTTTACTTATTTGCCACAAAAGCCTTACTTTTAAGAAAATATGTCACCTAATTGTAACCAATCTACAACAAAATGTTGCTGATATTGTTGATGTTTTGGAATTTTATGAGACTGTAACCAACTTCTGTTACTAGATACTTTGGTTTATTTTGTCTAGATTCTTGCACTTGGCCCCATGGGAGGTTATTGCTTCAGAGACTTGGGTGAAAGACTGTGGCCATACTCTTAGATCTCCAGAGTTCCCTGGCCTTCTCACACATTTCCCAGCCAGACAGTGGCATCAAGTTTCACAGAGCTCTCTCCTTGCACTATGTTCCAAGAAATATTACAGAATCACAAGTGTTTTGTTTTGGGATTTAAAAAGATAAAAACAGTAGCACTACATTGCATTCTAAGAAGTAGCTTAAGAAAAATGCCCCTTATTTGAAAATTCAGTTTCTGACACATTGCAAAATATATCAACTTTTGGGGCTAAGACAAAGTTTTGACACGCTGAGAAAGATAAACACTTGTAACGTTTTACCTGTAGTATTTGTAAATTCTTTATCTTCCTCAACTGCTGAGTCAACACGGGCAGGGACAACAGCAAGTAGCAGACATATAGAAGTCCAAAGAATGTGTTCTTTCTTCATGTTGTAAGTCAATTCTGAAATAGAGATCCCATAGACATCAGTAAGGCATTAACGCAGACTCATAGTATACTGTCAGAACTCCATACTTCTAAATGCAAGTTTCTATGACATTTAATTTGCATTCACATACAGCTCTCTATCCTGACTAGTTTTACAAGCATGTAGTTTTCAAATGAGTAGGCAAACACTAAGTGCATATGCTTAGTACTATTCTAATACACATCATATTTTGACTTTGCAAATACAAATTAAAAGGGTAGTTATTGAGAAGCATAGGTGAATACTGATCGCTGTGGCCAAGGATACAGTCAAATCCATTTCAGATGCAGTTCTACATTTCATGACTTTCTCGTGGCTGTTCTTTCCTAGTCAGGGATGCTTTTCCCTGCATTTTTCTACATCTTTAATTCAACTTGCATTTCCTCATTTCTGTTTCCCTTTTCACCCTTTCCACTTTTAAAAAGGAAACACATATGCAGCATTTTCATATTTGTCTATTTTAAGGTATATTTGACCTATAAATAACTTCCTGGTCAGATTTTCTATGTATAGCAAACAAACAGAACTGCCGATGAAATATGACATCCAGTCAAATCCAGTTTATACTTCCCCAATATACAGAGTTATGTGGTTCAAAGGAATTTCACAGTAAAATAGACTTTGCATGATAAGTCAGCATTTACCCTGTACAGGAAATATTTTAGCAGGAATGTGACACTTTTCCTGCTTCAATATGATTTAAAGATCCATAGGGGGAAAAAAAGAAGTAAAAGCACAAGTCTCTCTTAAAAACAGTTCTGATTCAAAGGTGGAAGGAAACACCCAATGTTTATACAGGATGAGAAAAAGAATGGAGATTTAGCCTGCATCTGTCTCTGAGTGACCTGAAAGTCAGGAAGGAAAGTGAGGTCATTATCAGGGAGGATTCACAGATGCAGAGGCCTATATTCTGTAGTCCATCAAAAACAATGGAAAGATTTCTAAATTTTGCCTGTAGTCACAGATGAAACAAAAGCTGTTACATAGATGCAACACATACCACTCTAGTATGAGGAGCTTTGTAATACTCATGCATAATTAAATAATAAATGCCATTTTTGCTTTAAATGCCATTGAAATAACTAATGAATGCATAATCTGTTTTTAACAGCACTTCAGAAATGTTAACACATGATTTATTTTCAAACAGTAGCATTGCTATGTGCCATGTAGATCATATGGGGAACTATTTGAATCTACAAATATATAGGTATGCATGCATGTATATAACCTACGTGATTCTGAAAAATCTTTCAAGTAAACATGAATCCTGTTCATATATTTGAACATCTTTTTTTCAAGGATGCTTTGATATCTATTTGATTATTTCAGATTTACAAATCTGTTAAACTGTGCATGTAAAGCACAGCTTTTATTTTATAGCAAGGCTTCAGGACAGGCTGAGACTCAGTAACCACAAAAGAATGTGAGAGTTAAGAATGTAAATCAGCAAGTTCCCTTCTCTGAACAATGACAATTCTTGTATACACTTAATAGTTTATACTTTCCTTACTTGCAAGAATCATATCAATTCACATCAAAATTAGTTGCAAGAATCATATCAATTCACATCAAGGGGATATCTGATCATTTCTCCTAGAAAGACTGGAACAACCTAGGGTGCAGAAGGACAGGCTCGTGTTGATGGTCAGGAATAACTAGAGCCAAGGAGTTAACCCTCATCTAATGTCTTCCATTGCTGTTGTACTCCTTCAGCAAGCTTATTCTCTTTCAGAGCTGCCTTACTTCCTCAGCATAATGCATGGTCACTGAACTTTGCTGGATTTTAAGCCTCAAGGATATTCCACAAAAATGATGTGACTGTTTCTTACTGTGGACCAAACAGCTTGAGAATTGCACTGATAATTTTAATTTGAAAAAAAAGTAACATTCTTTGAACCAACACATTTTAAGTTAGTTGAAAGACCATGACTCACATAGATTTTTGGGGTCCTAAGTTAGTCAAAGATCTAGCATAACACATGTTGTAATATTTCAAATATTGATAGAATCTGATGGTCTCATTGGTGGAGACAAGTGTAGCTTCCAGAAATAGGGAGTGATTGTTCTGAGAATAAGGAGCATGTGTTGGGCAAGTGTGTGACTACAAGCCACACTGCTAAGTGATCACTGATCCAGGATTTTATATGTTGTGACACATTTATACAATAAGTGAACACATTAACAAAACATATTTGTTTAAGAAAGAAAATTCAGGTATATAATTGTTTTAAAATTAGAAAAATGAGCAAAATATAGACTATACATATTACAAGATGAATAAAACATCCACGTTTTTACCTCCAAATCCTGTTATGGCATGTAAGAACAGATGTAATGTGGGATAAATTCTTGTACCAAATGATATATCAAAAAAATCCCTTTTCTGGATTTTTTTCCCATCTTATTATCCTACACTTGGAAAATATAGGCAGGCAAACTCTCTCCCATGAGTTCTTCCATAACTGAATAACTAAATAAATAGCACAATGATACACAGATTTCTTACATATCTCATCACACTTTCCCTATGTTTGCCAGCTTAGCTTAGGATGACACATTTGTTTCCATTAGTATACTTAGCACTGATACATTATTGTTAGAATTCTCATCTTACTGCTTTTCTTGACTTTAACCCAGTTGTTTTCTGAACCACCCAGGATACACCCTGAATTTCAGTTGCCTTTTTTTTTTTCTTTTTGTCTTTCTTAGCTATTCCGCTTTTCAAGACTGTTTTTGAAGACCTCAAGAGTTTTCATAAACTGAGCTAGTGTTTTGTTAGGATGTCCCACATACTAGGATTTGTGTGTGATATGGTTCTCATACTGCTCTCTTTGGAAGGAAGTCTTGACAGGCAACCCATAGTTAAAACAAGGGAGAACAGTATCCCATCATGTTGAGGTCAGTGAGAGTAGCTGCATAAGTCATTTAGAGTTGTTCTACATCAGACAATTAACTTCTCTCCTTCATTTCCTAAATGATCCAAATCTTTTTATATCAGTGTAAATTTAGATTTATTGATTTTATGTTTTGTGTTATAATCCCATACTACTTCCTTTTATTGCTGCTCTAATTATCTCCCAGAAATAGGAACCTGTACACATTGTTGATGGAAGGTGAAATTAGTGCTGCAATTATGAAATAATTTCCTCTAACAATGAAAAATGTAATTGCCATCTGATCCAAAGGTCCCGTTACTGGGTTTGTTGCTAAAGGAACTGAAATAAGTTTGTTGTAGAGTTATCTGCACTCCCATGTTTTTTGCAGTATTACTTGCAATCGCTAAGATATGGAAGCAATTTGGTATTCTTCAAGAAATAGATGGATAAAGAAAATGTGATATATATCCAAATTTGCATACTATTCAGAAAAAAAGGAGAAAAAGCCCTCCCATTTTCAACAACACTTATGAACCCAGGTTACATTGTAGTTGGTAAAACAGGCCAAAGGCAGAAACCCAATCATTTCTCTCATATGTGGAATCTAAAAATATTGATCTCAACAAAACTAAAGAGAATCAGTTACCAAACACTAGATGATAGGAAGAAATTCATCAATGGGTATGCAATTGTCATTGGATAGAAGAAATGAGTTCTGGTGTTTCATTATAGTTAGCAATAATGTACTGTGTATTTTAAAATATTATGGATTTTGAAGATTGTCACTACAAAGAGATGATAAATGCTAAAGGTGATAGGCATGCTAACTATACAGATTTTATTTCCCAAAGAATATATGTGTCAAAACTTCACATGTGCAACATCACGAAAGCAAAAAAATGCATTTTATAGAAACACCTGTTTTATAGAAACACCTGGAATAGCAAAAATAATTTTTAAAAAGAGCATTGGAACTTCAGTTTCCATTTTCAGATTTACTGCAAAACTCCATGTGGATCTCCCACCTGGCTTGCAGAAATTCATTACAGGGGCCATCATCTCTCCTGCATCACACATGCAGGTAGGACCTGGTCCTAGACGTCCTGATTTGAGATGCTGGCGTCCCGATTGGCCGCTTAGCCCTCTGCTCCACAAGGCTTGCTTCTATAGTATCATTTTAAAGGGAACATTTTTCAATGTGCATTCCTTCTAAATTGTCAGTAATCTAAATTTTGTAACTTGCTGATAATCTTTGCAGCTTAATGGAGTTTATGTTTAACACATGACTGGTGATGAATAAGGCAGCTGGTTATAGTTACAATATTAATGTTATGAATTAGTTAAACCTCTTTTGACACACTTAAGTACCTGCTTTCTTCCAAACATCTTACTAACATATCATTTGCCATATGTAATCTATCAAGATGTATTGTGACAGATTAAGTAAAAAATACTTGCTTTAGTCATTTATTTCAATTTATTACCTGCAGTTAAACAGTCTTTATGGGAACCTGTAACAGGTGAAGGCTGACTTACTTGTCTTTAAGAATTAAAGTAAAATTGAATTTATTTTTCCATAATACTACTTAAAAATCAAGTACAGAGAGCTGCCAGTTAAATTATAAAGAAAGGGGCAGTTTTTGAGTTAAACCTTGATGACATTGATTGAGTAGAAAGATAACATAAGGGAGAGAAGATTCATGGATTCCCCAAATTAATAATGTTACTCACATAATTATACAAACACAGGTAATATTGGCTTTTATGCCTCTCCAGGTTAATTTCAGATCTGTAGACTGTGTGCTTGTATGCTTTCAAAATGGAATTGTATTAAAGACATGGCACAGGAACTGTATCTTTGTCATCATTTCACCAAGAGAGGGCTCAGCATTTTACTCAGTGGTTAAAATGCTGCTTGAGACAAACACATCTCAGAGTGTGTGAGTTCTACTCCCTGTTGTACTTGCAATTCCAGCTTCATAAAAATGTACACTCTGGGAGGTAATGTATACCTACTAAGGTGCACCCTCATGACTCAGGTGCTCGGATTCCCGCCACCCTTGTGAGTTCTGGACTTCTACCTTCAGTACGGCCAG